ACTACGACGACGACTACGACCACTACGACGACGACGACGACTACTACGACTACTACTACTACTACTACTACTACTCCTACTACTACTACTACTACTACTACTACTGCTACTTCTACTACTACTACCTTTACTACGCGACGACTGCACCTGAACTACTACGACTACGCCGATGACAAATGACGACCGCGCCGAAACTGCGGGAGCAGAGATGTATCGTCGTCGTAGTGGTCGCGACAGCATGACCCGGACTGCTTCTACCCCCTCCCAGGCTGTTAGATGCAGGCTAGCTGCTTTGAGAACCTCGGATGTGCAAAGGGAAGAGGGACATTTCAAGTTAATTGATTATCTGCAAGGCTGCGGTTTATGCAACTCCTCGGCTTGCGCGGCTCAAAATTGTGAGATTCATAAACGGGCTCCTAACGGGATTTACAGAGTTCGGGGTTGAAAACAGTATGAAGTATGGAGCTGCGCAACTTCAAGCACCACCGGGCTGCCATCAAGCTTTCACAAACTCAAGTTATTCTTCAGTGCTCATGCCTGGCGGCTTAGCTTGCATCTACACATAGTTGCAGCATCCAGTCTTGGGCCAGACGCCGACTCCAAGAAAGCCCGAGCGGAGGGGTACCATCAAAACTTTATGGCCGCTGTAGTCTAACCCTAACCCCCCAGGTACCTACTTTTATAGGGCACTAGAGCCCTTAGGGGCCCTATATAGTAGGTACCTGGAGGGTTAGGGTCCGGTTAGGGAAAGGTTATGAGGAAGTATCCTCTTGTTGAGGAGACCTTGGCCCAAAAAAAAGGAGGCTCTGTAGGGTCCAGGGTCTCTAGGGTTTAGGGTTTAGGGTTTAGGGTTTAGGGTTTAGGGTTTAGGGTTTAGGGTTTAGGGTTTAGGGTCTCTCTCTTTGTTTGGGTCTCGGGTTTGAGGGTTTTAGGGCTTAGGCCATTTTGGCTCAAGGGGGCTTAGGCCGGCGCTTAAGGCCTTCGACCCGCACATGCATGGATTTTCCGGGGCTTAGGGCCAGGGATTAGGGCTTAAGGTTTGGATTCCACGGTTTATGGTTTAGGTTTAGGGTCAGGGAAGGCTGGACTTTGATCAGGCAGGCAGGCGACGGAGAGCGCGCCAGCAGGGCGCCCTTCAACCTGCAGCCAGCTCGGGGAGAGCCTTCAAGGCTTACCCTAAGGGCTTTTTGGCTTGCTATAAGGGCCCCTCAAGCCTAAACCCTTTAAGGCTTACCCTAACCCCCCCGGGGTACCTACGAAAGAGGGTACAAGAGCCCTTAGGGGCCCTATGTAGTAGGTACCTGGAGGGTTAGGGTTAACCTTTAGGGATTAAATTTAGGGTCTAGGGTTCCGCCAAAGGAACATGTCATGCCTGCGACACGCTTGGGTTGAAGTCTGGCCTTTAGATGACCGGGCCGGAACCCTCGCAGCCCCTACGATGCAGAGGATATGGTTATACAGTTTAGAGTTTAAAGGTTTAGGGCGTATGGTCCAATGTAAAGGCCTTCATGGTTGGAATAGGGCTTTGGGGGATGGGGCTTATGCCGAGTTCCAAACTCAATACGGATCATGAAACCCTGATATGGAAACCCTGGAACCTGAAACCCGAAACCCTCAACATCCCCGAAAAATAGCACACCGAAATTCGAAGAGCCTGAAACCCGAACCCCTGAAACCTAAAACACCTAAACCCTGAACACTAAATCCCTGGCCTCTGTCACGAAGACAGCCCCCTGAGCCTCAGTGCAGAATTCTTTGGGCTTGGGTTTCGGGTTTGGGGTTTGGGGGTTTGGGGCTTTAAGGCTCAAGGCTTAAGTTATTAGGTTTCACGTTTCGGGTTTGAGTTTCAGATTTAAGGCTAGAGCTTGTTCATCGCAAAGGTTAAAGGCTTAGGGTGTGTAGCATTTAAGGCTCAGGGAAGGTCTCTATTTTAAGTATCGCTCTTCACTTGTCCAAGACCGGATAGTGTTTAGGGTCTGGGGCTTGGGATGTGGTTGGGGTGTAGGGCTTGGGGTTTAGGAAGACTCTTCATGCGAGCATGCAAAACTCAATACCACCTGAGCGGCACCTGCCCCAGCCAGCCGCAGCACACGCAGCCGCTGGCCCCCACACGTCACCACCTGACCATCAAAGTTTATAGTCAAGGCTCTGTTTTTCAGTGCAGGGGGTGTAGAGTTTAGGGGTAAAGTTGCTGGAGTCAAGTTCCGAGTGCTGGACCCTTTGAAGCGGGATCAAGGTCTCGGAAACCCCTTTGCCTTCTCAACTTGTGGGATGCAACCCCGTAGGTTGAGAAGAGATCATAGGAGTATCACCCTAAACCCTAAGCCCTAAACCCTAAACCCTAAACCCTAAACCCTACCACGCGAACCCAGGAGATCTGGACATCCGAGCCTTGATTGCATGAGACTTGGAAACGGAAATCAAACCTTGCTGACATTGGTAGGTTTAGGGTTTAGGGTTTAGGGGTCCACCGTGGTTGCTATCCGGGTCGAAGGTCCCTAGGGGATGAACTCAGGTTTAGGGCTTATTAGGTATAGTTTACATAGGGTTTGGGTTTAGGGTTTAGGGTTTAGGGTTTAGGGTTTAGGGTTTAGGGTTTAGGGTTTAGGGTTTAGGGTTTAGGGTTTAGGGCTTATTAGGTATAGTTTACATAGGGTTTGAAGAGTCCAACTTGGGGATGAGAGGTCCCGGCCCATGCCTCGGTGCATGTGCCCCTAATGCCTTTCACCTCACGCTGAAGCCTGACAGCTGAGGACCTCCAGAGCACCTCATGCCGGCTCATAAGGGATGAGCCCAGACCCTAAACACTAAACCCAAATCCTAAACCTGAAAGTCCACGTACAGTCCATGTCAAGGCTCAGAATCAACCCAAAACCCTATTAAAAAACGTATGTTATGGCATGTTATCCACAGGGTTGAGAAGGGGTCCCTGTGGAGGGAACCCCTGTGGGTTGCGCTTTTGACGAAGGAGCGTGCTGCGGCCCAAAGTCCAATGGGCCCCATTTGCCATTAGGCTCCATTGACCCCGATTGGGCCTTCGGCAAAAGTGCAACCCACGGGGGTCCCCTCCACAGGGGCCCCTTATCATCCCCGTGATGTTAAGGCAGCCCAAACCCTAAACTCTGGACCCAAACCCTATAACCCCGAAACCCCAAAACCCTGAATCCTGAACCACATACTGAACCTAAGGTGGATTTCATAGAGAAGCCGTAGTCTGGGTCAGGGCAATGCCTCCGGAAGCGCGGGGACAGCGCCGGAAACCTAAGGAGAGTTGAGAAACGCTTCGGCGGGCAGGCCCTAACAACAAGAATCGGAGTTCGTTACATAAAAGTTCCGGCTTCCGGGTATAAGGGCTTCTTTCAAGGGTGTCCCCAGAAGATGAAGTTTAGGCGTTTCGCTTACGTGCTGTCATCAAGATATTCGGTCTATGGCGCTGAACCCTGAGGGTAGTTTTCTAAACTAGGGTCCCTTTTTGGGCCCCAAAACAGTACGGCACCCTTGAAAAAGA